AATAGTTGTGTTATCAGTATAGATACCAAGTCGAGAACTGATGACATCAGGAAGGTCATTGCTGAAAATTAGAAACAATGTAGGTCCAAGGATAGAGACATGGGGAACACCTACCTTAATGCAAAAAGATCTAGAAGAGTGGCCATTCAAGACAGATTGAATCAGTTCAAAAATTCATCCAGAATTACAATAGCCTTTCAACTTTTGAAGAAGATCAATTTGCTAAACCCTGTCAAATGCCTTCGAGATATCAAAAGCAATAACCCAAGCTTCAACATTTTTATCTAAAGCTTGGTAGGTGCTTTCAGAAATAATTGTTAATATATCAGCAATTGAACTAGAGAAGCAAAAGCCAAATTGCTTATCTGAAAGAAGACCTTACAAGGTGAGATACTTAACCAATTCAGAGTTAATTAGAGTGTGTAGTATTTTGCCAAAAAGTGGCAAAACACTAATAGGCTGATAACCTATTTACAGCACAGGAAGCTGAATGCTTTTACAGAGATACTATCTAGGAAGGTTGTCAAATAAAACTCTAAATCCCTTCGAGGCCAAGAGGAATTACTAAATTTTAAAAATTCTCTTAAGGTTATCCCAAGAGTTGAAAACAAAGTAATAGTATATGTTAATATTACATTTAATGTAGTTAAAATTAATAAAAATTTAAAGTTTAAATATACATGCACACACATGTATATTTTACGCTGGACATCAAGATAAAGATTTTGTTGTCAAATGGACCGTTTATTCTTACTATTATCAACTATTCTGTTGAAATGATGAATAACAGAATTACAAATCAAAAAAGTTACAAGGATTGTATGTTATTGTCATGGATTTTAACCATCCAGTACAACTCCCATTTCTGGCATTAACACACCATGAGGCAGACTACTGAAAATATCTCAAGGGTTGGTGGTTCAGAAGCAATGAGGGTTACTCTTGTCTTGACCTTTACTTTGAGAGTGAATACAGGACACAATGTGACATACACACATAGAAACAGACACAAATAAACACACATAGTTTACATTGGATTTTGAAATAAATAGTTCATTGTCAAATGTACCACTTACTATTAATTTCTGTTTAAATGATAAATAATAGGAACCAATCAATAAAATAAGGAATAAAATTATCATCAAACTAGCAGCATGGCCCGGCGTTGCCCGTGCTTGATTCAAAAATCGTACGAATCATACAGCAATCGCTATCACTTGACTTAAAATATTTTTGCCCTTCCTTGCCTTTAAAGGAGTGTCCTTTGCCAAGCTGATGTTGCTACATGCCTTACTTCTTGCCTATCTCACACTGCAAATTTTTTCTAAGCTCTGTACTAAGCATTAAATCTGTTATGAAAAAAGAACTAAACAAAATGAACACAAAATGATCAGCTTTAAAAAAGGACTCTAACTGGAAAAACTGAATGAAAAAATAATGTACAGTTCTGCGGAATCAGAATCAACGTTGAGTTTAAGCAAGCGAATGAGCCAATTGGAGTAAAGTGCCATGCAGATTTAAATTTTTCCCACTTTTGACTAATGCAGCTATCGATTTTTTTTTTGCATGCTAGCATGCTAGTTAACATTCATGTCAGTCAGCTGTTGTCTCTCATGCTGGCCAATAGAATCTTCCTGCCTATTCGTGGCAGCCAGGTATAGGCTCTAACTCTGGCCAGTAGAAAATGGCCGCAAACTACATGAAAACTGCCGTAGAAGCATGAAAAAAATCAATTATTTCCACTATCAATGGGAGTTGGGAGTCAGTCTTGGCCTTCACACTAACTTGGAGCATGTGCATGTAAATTTTGGTGAAAATCAGTCGAAAATTATATTTTTCAGTGTTTGATGCAAAATAAATGTCTGTTTTTAAGACTATATAAACTTATTTTTATGATGACATTTAAGTATAATTTAATTTCTCTGGTTCAATAACTGGCTTGTATTTTTGTACTTAATTATTTTAATTTTTTCTTCCAGGCATAGTTTGCATCTGTTTATATTATACTGTTTATATATTTATATATATATATATATATATATATATATATATATATTTAAGATCAAATATAGATAGGAATGCAAGAGAATGATAGGATAAGGGACAAATAGGAAATCTTTATAAATCTGACATGCTTTGCTTTTATTAACACTTGAGATGTGGAGGTTTATTTTCCACGAGGGTCGACCAGGTGAAGGCTCAGCCAAAAATATTCCCTCTTTGAACCCGCATAAACGGATTCAGGGGCAGTCAACCACCCCGAACGAGACTCTACCCTTCGGCGAAGCCTCGTCTGGGTTCCTCTCCGCCCGAAGGCAGAGAGTTAGACTGTTAGCCAAGTTGCTTGGTGGAAGAAATCGGCTGTGTTTATGTCAGCTCCGGTTAGCATCGTAGTCGGTTGGCAATATCTTTTGGTTGAATACTAAAAATTAACTTCGATACCCTTACCTGTGCTTTCAAATTGATTTCATGCAAAAACAATTGTGTTTTTCCAATTTTTGGTTCTGTCAGAACCACCGCCAGGTAAATTAACGTAGTCTTGTGAAGTTTTGTTGAAATCGGTTGAAAAATGTAGGAAATACGATCCCATATATAAATGAACAGACACACGCACACAATTTGCGTTTTATAATAAGTAAGATATATGGGACCATCTTTTAATTATTGTCATAGATAAAATGTTTGAAAGATAATAGAGGAAGAAACTGACTATAATGAATCAATAGAAAAAAGTAAACAAAATAATGTTATGTCTCAAAACACTTTCCTTACAAATTTGAAAATTTATGTTCTAAATATTTGTTAAAGATGCCAACTTTGGCACAAGGCTAGATTCATGAAATAATTATAAAAATTAAACTCACTTGCAATGGCTTTAAAGAGTTGCAGGCTAAATATTCCTTTGTAGACATTGATCAACTTTAAAATAATCTATAGGAACAGTAAAACAAAAACCTAGAAATTATTTGAGAAAATTTATAAAAAGAAATTCTTTTCAAGTAAACTTTTTTCATTGATAATTGAGTTTTAGAAGCCAAGAAATCAATGAAGAAGATAAGGATAAGATTCTTGAAACAGAAAAGGAGGATTAGATTTCAGATAAAGATCTTGGTTAAAAATGCAATATTATATTTTGCATAAAACTTCTGAAAAGAACAAAAAAAAAAACAAAAACAATTTTGCCCCATAAAGTTTCTGGGATTTACATAGTATTACTTTTTTTCCGTATGACAAAACAAAAGCAGGGTATTATCTCTAGTTGAATCAATGTGCAAAACAATTTGAAAAAATTTGGTTTACGGAGACAAAAAAAAAAAAAAAAAAAAAAAAAAATCACCTATAGTAACACTTAATATTAGTTGCTTACCAGAGCAAGCAGGAAGACATTTGTAAAAATATGGACACTGAAGACAAGTTTATGGTATGAATGAGTGAAGTGAGTATATCTAGAAATTATATCTTAAGATCTCCACTTATTTATGTTTTGATCAGGTTATTCAAGACCAAAACTATGGTAAGTTACAAACTAACATTCATAAAGTAATGTTTGTAGTTGAAATAAAAAAGAAAATTTTGCCTACAAGACTTTGTTACATGTTTGTATTAATGTTAAAATTTCTGAATATGCAATATCTTTGTAGCACAGATTAACTGATGGACACTGTCAAGGTTCTGTTCAATAAACAAACAACAATAAACAACATTGGAATTTTTCTTCAATAAATTAAATTTTAATTCATGTAAAAGTGATAGTAGAGAGTTGATTAATGTATCTTTTACATCAACCTTTTGTAGGCTATTTAAAGCCAGAAAATATTTTTACATTGTAAGAATTTTTTGGAGATAATGATTTCCTGATACAAGTTCTACTAATTAACCCATAGTTGGGATTCATACCTTTCCCAAGGGTATTTGCACATAATATACCAAATCTAACTGGAACTGGAACTCAGCTTTTCAATTTCAAACTGTTATCCATTACATGACCAGTACATCCAAGCTTACAACACCTGGTATTCCCAAGCGGTCACCCATCTTGGTACTGAGCAGGCATGACATTGCTTAACTTTGGTGATCATACAAGAACAGGTGATGTGATATGGCCGTAAGCCCATGTAAGAGAGCATAGTTTCTCTCAAGAAAACAAATAGAAAGGGAAAGAAAGGATCAGGTCTTTTAAATAAGAATGTGTGTGTGTATAGGATATACAAAGAGCAGATACACAAAGGAAATATGATTTACACACAGTAGATTTTGTTTTGAGCAGAATACATTGGAGACCATGATTTTTTTTTTTTTTTTGTTTTTTAACTGATTTGCATAAAAATGACAATCTGGTTTAAAAACTTGATTCTGTCCTTTTACAAATGCTCATATTAAACGATTATTACTTGGAACTGATACTTCAAGTAACTGGAATTCACTGGGTATGTAATAAGGGTTACTGAAAAGTACTTGGATCAACTGACTACATAAAACAGGATTTTTTTTTGGGGGGGTGGTAAAAAAATCTTCAACTTTTCAACACCTTTACATATTTGTCTGTACATGTGGAAGTTGTTCTGGAACATCAGTCAAATCTCAAATTTGAGTATATATATATATATATATATATATATATATATATATATATATACACAAACCTGTTTCACTGAATAATATAGACATATGTTTATTTTTATACTGAATCTTTCTAAGTTCTCTAATTGGTTTCTTGATATTAAGATGAAATTCATCAAGGAAGGTACCATAGTTTTTTCATAACCAAGTACTTTTGATCTACACCAAAATCATCCCCAGAAGTAAATTACAAAGACAAACTTATTGTAACTGTGATAGAATTCGCATTTCATTGTGAAGTTGATTTTTAAAAAACAATCTGTGTTTGTGTTCTAGTGTTTAAACACTTGTCGCTAAGAGACATGACAATGAAAGTGTAATATATTATTAAATGAAATTTTCAAACACAAACAAAAAATAAAATTAAAAAAATGTCTCACTTGTACAGATGTAGAGCTGAAAATCTGTAGAAGTTCCATAGCTGCAGGATCCTTCGAATGGTCAAGTATATCAAGAGACTCCAATAGGCAATTGTATGAGTTGTTACAGACAGGTTGATAGTTGGAAACAGCAATGACCTTGTTTTGGATCTTAACAGCTGTTTGGAAGCGAGCATTTTGGAAGAGGTTGGAGAGGAAGTAGAGATCTTTCTTGAAATCATCTTGAGTGTCTAGAGAATTCTCAATGTGCTTAAGAGCATCCAACAAATCACCAAGCACTGAAAATAAACAAATATTTACATAAATTTCTGTATGCTACTTACAAATGGAAAAGAAAAAAAAGCATTATTTATTCAATAATTTACAATAGATTAGTGAAATTTCAAATAATTTTGTTTAATAAAATTACTATAATGAAAAGCAACTGGTTACTGTCATCATATATTTGAATAAAAATTAAGGACATCTGCATTTTGCATGCTGATCTAAGTCACTCACCTTCCACTAATTTCTTGGTCGTAATGATGGCAACTAAAATTGCTGCATTATACTGGCTAATGTAAAAAGTTCATTCATTTTATTAAGTAGAAGTAATTGTTTTGTCAACATTAACTTTATTTCCTAAGTACTTTCATGCATTTGTGATGAAAAAATACTAACAATTTATATAAAAATTAGTTTTATCATAATTATTGTGTCATTAATTAGAAAAATTATAGAAAATTTTAATAAAAAAATGATGCACACTATATAGCAGCAAAGATATTTGCCTTTTAAAGTTCTTTAAGTTGTATAAAACATTATGTAACTTTTGTTCACCCATACTTCAACAATTTCATGGATGCTACTAAATCTATGTAGACGTTTATCAATCATAGCATCATAAAAGTAATAATGACAAAACAAAAAAAAAAAAAAACACTCAAAAATCTACTTTAATTATGCAAAAGTATTTTTTAAATATTTGCAATGGATTTGCAAAAGCAAATTTTGGAGTAAGTTTTTGTTTTGTCAGTTTGGAATCTGTTTAAATTCTTAAATTATTTAAGAATTTAAACAGATTTCAAACTAGGAAGTGAAACCTCCTTATTGGCAACCAGCAACATATTGTGAAGCAAGAATAGAATTTGAAGATCAGCCTCATCATCCAAGCCTGTTTCCAAATGTCTTAACAATACCTGATGTCTGCATCCAGATAGGTAGAGTAACAGCTACTGGTGTGAATTTTACAAATGAATGAATCTTTACCTGAAGCTGGTTGCAATGGGTATTAATGTAAGTTGATTTGAAAAGAAACTAAAACCAGAATTTAAACTAAAAATTTAAATTATTACAATTCTTTTTAAATGTTTAAAAATTATGGTGCTACCTGTTCATTACGTTAAATATTTATTGTTTACTGTTTTGTCCTGCAATCTTCTGCCATCTTTCAGACAATTTTATATGTTTATCCTTGTAAAAGTTTTTATCTTTCATAACAACTGCTCTCTTTCAGGGAATGTTTTTTTGTTTGTTTTCATTAAGTGAAATCCATAAAGACCAAAAGAAATGATAGTCCAAAGGTGTAATATTGGCAGATGAATGAAAACTTTTCAATCACACTGGAAGAATTTTGTTCTGGCTACCATGTGGTCTGGCATTATTCTGGTGAAATATTATGCCTTTTCTCTTAACCAATTCCAAACATTTTTTTATCAAATGACCTATGTGGGAATAATACTTGTTTGACTCAATCACTTTTCATATTGCATATTACATATTTCATATTACATATTACATAAGGAGCTCATATTTCATATTACATAAGGAGCTCATATTTCATAAGGAGCTCATAGTAAACAAGTCCCTTCAAAGCCCATTTTGGACATACCTCACCATTGGATGAAAACTGGTCCTTCATACAATGAGCAATGGTTCATTTCATTTGTCCCACAATCTCTTGTATTCCATATTCTTGTAAAATATCATTGCAACACATTTTTTAATAATAATAATAAAAAAAGTAACATTAAATAGATCTTATTTTTGTTTTCTGATAAATTCATGTGGTAGCCATGCAACAAGGTAACTAATGTAATGAAGTTAGTGAAAATGTTTTTCAAAGCTTCGGTTGGATATTGTAAGTATTATTCTGAGAGAAATCTCAAAGGAAAGATTTCACAAACTGCTTTTCACAGTATCTTTTCTATCAAATTCAAAGTCTTGTATTTGAGTGACATTTTTATCTTTTTCAAAGTAAAAGAATATGCCAAAAATATTACTTATTTTTGCCATGTGTGAATCAATAAACAAAATGCAAACACTCTGGCAAATTTAAAAAAAAATGTCAATATGACATTTGTCGCTATGCAATCTTTTTTAATTAAGTTAATTAAAATTAAATGCACCCAATGCTCCTAACAAATTTTGGGACAACCACATAATTAACTATAGCAATAAAAAATAAAAATAATCAACTACTAAATAAATATTTTTACATCAAAGAAATAGTTAAATAATTTTAAAACCGACATCAACCATTTTGCAAAATCTTTTTCAGAGAGGGTGGTAAAGAGAGAAAATAGATTTTAATGTTTATTTTTCACTTGTTTATATATTTTCAAATGTTTATAAAGAACTTAAAATTAAAATTTTTACAGGTGAACAACAAAGTTTCAAAAGAACTATCTGAACTATCAAAATCTCTTGGATGTAGACTACAAGGTTTGTCAGGTTTCTTGCTCCTAAACATTATGGTGCCAAAACATTCTGAACCGATTCAAATCATCAAATTGTGTTGGACACAATTTTGTTTATGATCAATGTAACGAGCATGCACGGAAACGTCCTTGAACTGTGTTTGTGTGTTGTTGCCGGGCACACCTTGGAGTACCATAATGGACTCGACTGAGGACTACAAGAAGAAGACGCGTGAGTCGTTTAGAGTCTTTTCTTGGGCGACAAGAGCCGTTGTGGTTGGTCGTCCATCGGCAGCAGTCTTGGGTGCTGTTTTGCTCGTTTGCTGTCGTAAAGTGTTGTGTCGCAAGAAGGCGTTTGTTTTTTGTGTCGCATTTATGATAGAAAAGTTTTCAGGTGTTTTTAAAGTCTACTGTAATATTGGTGCCATAAACCACCAACCAAATCCTGAAAATGCTCATTACTTTGTGGCAAGGCAAAATGTAAATAGTTTTGGTGAGCTGATGCCATTGTGTATGTTTTTTTTTAAAAAAGACTTTGCATCTATTTTTAAGAAGCTGCTGTGTTAGTAGAGACATAATTAGAAATAATAATATTCCATTTTAATTAAAAAAAAAAATGAAAAGAAAGTCATTTAAAATAGACAAGTAAAATATAGTCATCATTACTTAGTTCTGGTCAGTCACATTCAATGACTAGTTGGCCCAAGAAAACCTACTACTCACATTGATATACAAATATTAGTTAAAAGTGAAAAGTTAATATCAAATAATAGTGTTAAGTCTTTAATACTGACATGCATGAATTGTTAGAGAAAAAAAAAAAAAAAAACTAATTCTAATAGCAAGATGAAAGTCTGATAAAAACTGTACCTTTGCTAAGAATGATCTTAAAAAGAACAGAAACAAGTCTACAAAATTTATTTCAGAGAAGAAAACAGTTCTTTTTGGTAATAGAGTAAATGTAACAGACAAGTGAAAAAAACAAAACAAAAAAAACAGAAGAAACTAAAAAAATTCCTGTGTATTTATAAAATATATATTTATACATTATCATTCAAAATTAGATGCTGAGTTTCAAGTGTAGACTACTTTGAGATATTGGTCCAATATCAATTTTGAATACTAGTCCCATAGATGATGATGATGCACCTTAAAATATAATCTCAAAAAGCCTAATTTAAAAAAAAAAAAAAAAACTAAACTCCCATTATAATTAAAATTATTCAAAAAAAAAAAAAAATTTTTGCAATTTTTTGTCAAAAAAAATATCAGTCAAGTTAATGAAAATATAGATCAAACCCAAGAGAGATGACTGTCTGTAAGTTACAAAAGAAACAAATTCTTTGCTTCTCTATATTTGGCTGTTCAATAAAATCAATTGATGATCAATCAGCTTACAGCCAAATCAATTTGCTCACTTTCCAGCTCAATTATTCTTTCTGGCCACCTAAACCAATAACCCTCAAATCTTGCACTTCAAGTTCCAGAAAACAACTTGATTGCCAAAGACACTGATTACAAATTCTCAACATTTTTAGAAACTTTAAAAGAATTATACAAAGGGGAGTTGAAAAGTTCTTGGCTCAATCCACTTTCCAAAATTTGATCAAATGACCAAACATCAGAATGTTTTGAAATTTTTTTTTTTGGAAAGGCTTCTTGGTTGAGCCAAACACTTTTCAGCACCCCTTAGAGAAACTTAACCTATTTGTACACTACAAATACCTAAATATTTACATATTTTAGATTTAGAGGCATATATATATATATATATATATATATATATATAACAGCTATAACATTATAAAGACTATTCAGTAATTGTTAATGAGTACAATGGTACAGCATAAGCTATCAAATCTTATGTTAATAGCATGTGAGAGTTCAAATGAAAAAACTCCATTAAGGATTTCATTTATCTTTAGTACTGGAAATAAGGGAAAATCTTTCAAGGAATAAATTTAAACAAAATTCAATTTTTACAATAATTAGTAAATTGTACATACACAATAACTATATTTCACTATAGTGTTTGAGGATCAACTGCCACATGTTTTTGTGAATGGGCAGCAAGGCTGGCTTTACAGTGTGCAAGAAAGCCACAATAGAAGATAAGCTTATCATTGAGAAGAGCAACATGCTACCAACTTGCTTTAATATTTGCATACAGTTGATCTTAATGTTTAAGTCAGCCTCATTCAAACCTTTGTACAGATGAGAAGCAGGACAGGCTTTATATATATTTGTTTACATTTGATACGCCAGAGCAGTTATGAATGTACGAGATTCATGGAAGATTGAAGTTTATAAGCAGTAAATTCGACCTTGCCTACCGAACGCTCCTTTGTGTCCGAGTCGGTT